TGCCTGTAAATCACACTGTGTACTTGTCACAAGCATCTTGGGAAACAAAGATACACTGCTTATTAACTACAGCATATGCTTAAACAGCTTACAAGGATTTCAATTATTGTAGAAACACAAATCCCCTAAAGTTTTGCTTTTTGTATTAGCTTTGAAATGAAACAACTACACAGTCTTACCATTTCTTTTGAAGTATTTCAACTTCTTTTTGTTGACTGAAACGATCGAGTCATCGCTCAATGCACACTGTCTGGTATCTTTGGTATATCCGAAGTATTTGCAGTCTTCTTCCTTGAGGCAGGCCGCGGCACACCTCAGGTAGGAGGCTCGTTGGCTTGACCGAATCACTCGATATTTGACGGTGCTGTTGAACTGTGAAGCCGTGAAATCCGAAGATTTCACGTTAGGGAGATCAGAGCCAGCTCCGCTCTGAACCATGTAGACAACAAAAAGAGCGAGGCACCAAACAAGACGACAATGTCTTGGGTGATAAATAGGAACATTCATTTCGTTTCGTTTAGGTTTGTTCAGCCATATAATTCTCACATGTAGCCTACTTCGAAACTGCTTTAGATTGTGTTTTAAACAGCGAACGGCGGAAGGCCGTATACTATACGCTGTCAATAATTAAACGCACGACTAGATTATGGATGTGACTAAGTCACACAATCGACGATAAACTGACGATTTAAGCCAGAAAATAGCCCATGGTCGCGGCAGATTAACGCAGTGGCAATAGCTGCGCTGCTGATAGCTTTTGCATACGTATTTGGCAAATGTATATTTTGTAATCTTAATAAGGTAATTGTGAATTTATGGAACGTCAATTTGGTCTAAAACTTGCCTCGATGGTTCAGGCTGGTACCATAGACATTTAAAATACCAGATTTGTAAAATCATATTTTTGACCAAAAATGATACCTTTAGACCAAAATGAGCCAAACAAAATCACATTTTTTTCAATTTTACAGCTCACATCATGCCTAATCTGCAAGTAGACATGTTATTTTTTAGGCTTTCAAATGAGGTATGATGTAGGTGTGTGTGGTGTTGGGCAATAGACAAATAACCAAAACTGGTCTTCGTTTTGCTCGTAGAAAAACGATTCTGAGAAAAATGCACATTTTCACTCAATATTGCCTATAGTAACTGCACATTTTGTAATCTTAAGATGGTTATAATGAATTGATGGAACGTCAATTTGGTCTCAAACCTGCCTTGATAGTTGAGGCTGGTTCAACAGATATCGAAAATACCAAAGTTTTAAAATCATATTTTTGACCAAACATGTGGCTTTTAGACCCAAATGAGCCCAAAAACACATTTCTCCCAATTTCCAAGCTCCACATCATGCCTAATCTGAAAGTACACATATTAAGCTTACTATTGATGTATGATGTAGGTGTGTGGGGTGGGGCTTTAGGTCGACCCAAATTTGGATTCTGCCGCTCGCCTAATGGACTTGTTTACAACGTGCTCGCAAGGTGCATAGTCGTGGTCGCATATAAGTATCCTAGCTTACTGCTTGAAAATATGGTCCTCAAATAATTATTGATATCTGTTTGTTTTGAAAACGTGCCCCCACAAAAAAACAGAGAAATGGTGCAAAATCTTTAAAGCATAATGGAAATGAAATGTTGAATAAGTGGAATACAAGTTTGCATTGTTCGTGTTGTTCCTCGTTGGTACATGTAGTTTCAAATTAATGTCTGTTCGCGCTTTATTTAAATGGCCCATGTAAGGCGAAGTAAAAAAAAAAAGTTTCTCGTCCGGGGTTTTTGAAAAAAGGGAGGAAGCGGGGCCTTTTATTTTTTATTTTTTATTTTTTTCAAGATGGCCGCCATTTAAAAATTTCCTGCAACCGTTGGTTGTGTCAACTGTTCAAAGAGACTTTTAAAATGAAAGACAAGTTGGACAAGAGAACTGAGCATATTTACAGTGTCGGAAAAAATTCGGTACTGGGCCACAACTTTTTTTCGATTAATTTTCAAGCGCCAAAAGTTGTATCCTTTGACTTACTTCATCAAGATTCGAACCTCGGACTTTTACTTGAAACACGAGACTCTTAACCGCTAGGCCGCGCACGATCGCTGTTGCAATAATCAATCTTTGGACGTATTTGAAGTAGCAATTGAAATAAACTAAATATTCATGAGAAATAAATATTCATAATGACGTATTGCACTATCATTGGCCGGCTCATGCGACGTCATGGTTGTCGATGTCATGCGTCATGCGTACCGCTGTCTGTCAGCCACACTTCAATCAGTTTTGACCGGCTGCTTCAACTATAGTTCCGCACGACGTGTGCATCCAAAATGGGCTCTAAAAACACATTTTGCCTATTTTTTTCCGCATTAACACAGCTTCCTGGATTCCTCTTGGGTGAAATCACTAGGTGAGGTGAAAATTGATGTGTTTAGCGGCAGGTAAAGTCGTGGCCCAGTATGGAATTTTTCCCACAGTGTCATTTAGAGTTGTATTGGTATTGGTATTTATTTTTCGATGAGTTTGTGGACTTTTTCGGTGTTTTTTTACTACATTTTTCAAAAATAAAAAATATTAAAAAAATCCAGGCGGCCTCCAAAAAGGAAGCGGGCGGGGACGAGAAACTTGGTTTTTTTTTACTTCGCCTAACTGACTTTTCTTTCAATGCAATCCCTCAAATGCAGCCTTGTGCATCCATTATGTTCACACTGCCAAGGTTACAGTGTTTTTCCTGTTACAATGTTTTTCCTGGGCCTTAATTGTCGTGCATAAGTTATGAGCAAAACCGTGATGCCATTAGGCAGACGGAGTCTTCAGTGTCACAGCTGTTTCAGCATTGAAAGCTACCGGAATTTCAGGACGATTGCCGTGTTCTTGCTGTCTTTGATGTCTCGTTGTTAAGTACATGACAGTGAGTCACTCGAGCAAACTTAATGCACTAAGTAATGTTGGCAATGACAGCCGGAGCCCCATTAGGGGATACTAATTAATAATGTCACTAATAGACTGTAAAGTGCACCTACAGAAGTGAGAAGTGAGTTCACGGCAAAACGCCCTCAATTGTCAGGAAAAGAAAGTAACATTTTCAATGCCCCCAAAAAGTGCATTTTACCAAATTAAAGCCAAGAGGGGCAGCTCTTTATTTTCATATGCAGGTCACAGATGATGGATATCTCAACCTTATTATGTAAATTGCTGATATTGCAGCTATCCTGCCAGTTATTTTCTAAGATACCTCTAAACACTGTGAAAATTTAAAAGCCTCGGAGTGATTATTTTCGGGCTACTACCAGCAGCGAGTAAAGTTGGCCTGATTTTGTTTTGCATGTTTTTTTTGGAACTCGATCGGTCCCAGTCTGGAAAACAAGAGCCTGCTTCCTACATTCCCTGCAAAACGTGTTGTTTATTTTCGAATTCGGATCCCCAGAAAAGTGGTTTAAACTATTTACAGTGATGTATTAACAGTACTTTGATCAAAATTCAATGGTACGTTTCGAGGTTTTAATTGGCAATGTGACAACGAGATAGCACCCAAGTCAGTACGTTCACTCCGTTTGTTCGATTGATAATAAGGCATTTCATTCTAGCTGCGCGCCTTCAACACTGAAGCAATTCACACAATCTTGTCAAGGAGGAACGACCGTGACTTATCAGATTCTGAAATCATCCATCGAAGAAAAGCACGCCCTCTATCGCTAGATTATACTTTGACGGGAATGTATAAGTGCACACAGGAGTGCGCTATTTGGGGAAGTTAAACTCTTTCGTATTTACACACATTAACCCTCTGAAAAAACAAACGCCCGCATATTGTGTCGATGTCTGCCATAAAATAATCAAAAATGCTGATGGATTTTGAAAAGGCTGATGGATAGACAAACCACAAACAACTGCTACAACATGAGAAATATTACAACGCGCACAATGCAAGCATCCTGATGACATACCAGATTTCTCTCCAAAAGGCCCAACTATACTTCACTAACTTCGTCTTGTTTTCGTGGCCTCAACTTGTACCCATCCCATAATGCAATAGATCGCCTGAAGTGTTTGAGAACAACTTTAGATCCTGTTGATCGGGCTTAATGTGAAGAGTTTAGGGCGGGGAAGCACAGAGAGGGTTGGGTCACGGATCCTACACACAAGGATTAACGACTATGCGTGATAACGGCCCGTACTGGTGGCAAATACCATGAATAATGTACTTGTCAACAAGAGAAAACCGGCTTTCAGATTTGCAGGCTCTGCGTCCGATTTGCTGGTGTCGAAGTCTGTCAAGCCAGCTTATTATATTTTTGAATATTAATGAGTCTACTTTTTGATTGAATTCTGATAAGTAATAACTACATCACCATGTTAACGCCGAGCACAGTATCTCTAGCTTCAAAATGAACTATGAAATGTCGCATTTGTTTTATCGGTTCGGGACCACATCTCTCTCAAACGTTTTAATGAAAGCCGAATTAACAACGAAATTTGGGTAAACGGTGTTCTCCTCGAAATTAGACGTTTATTTCCCGGGTAAATACTTCATCTATGACGACAATAACTGCTAAGTACTATCTGTTATATCCTGAAGTACATAATTTTTTTTTTACAATTTTGGAACTTACATAACGAGTAGTTTTGCTCACAGTTTTTTGAGTTTTACAAAATTAAGTCCCCTTTCCCTTACATTTATTTACAGGCAAATTACAGGCGTACTTTTAACAACAAACAGGAGGAAAAGAACAGCTATAACAAGATCACTTGTACGTTGGTACCTTGTACCTAAGGCCAACTCCTTCCAATTTACGAGAACGTTAGTCGTGGAGTTTGCGGGCAAGGTAGCGCTACTAAGCTTACTAGACGGCGCGTGGAAAGCAGTGAAGCTGGTCATGTCGGGCGTTTTTTTGTCATTCAAAAGATGGTTTCCAAAAAAAATTAAAAATTGCTTTATTATATAACAAAAATTATGTTCATTTTTAAACTGAACACAACTGAACACAAAGGGATAAAACCATAATTTGTTGCCCTGAGTGAGTGGCCACGTTTATCATTGGCCGATTTAAACACTTTTCTCCGGTGTTTAAAAGAGAATGGAGCCAGCCATAATGGCGATGCTCTTTACCAATGAGAACTATCATATATATAAATGAATGCTAATTAAAAAGTTAGAAAAAGCTTGACTTCACTTGACATTTTTTTGTTACCATACAGTGACATTTTAAAATCAAACTACGTGTAGAACTCTGAGTATAGACCTACTGTTTTATGCAACATCAATCTCACCAGGCGTATTGTAACTACAAAATCAGTAAAAAGATGGGTTTCAATTATCGATTCCTTTCGATATCGATTATTTCCTGTCCAGTTATCGACTAATTCAATCAAAGTGATTAATAGCAGCCAATCACTTCAAACCTCATGCTACAATGCTTGTTCCATGCAGTGGGGTGAATGTGCAGGATTCGGGTGCGCAATGCCAATGGGAACCGTGCGGTTACCATCGTGTTCCTGTCCGAGTTACCAGCGAACTGCAACAAATCAAAATGGTTGACTTGTTTAGCGCACCCTGTCGTGCCAAGTTATTATCATTATTGTATTCAAGGACTACTTATTGTGATGGTAAATATTGCTGCACAGCAAGAAAATGGGATTTTTTTCATCACCATAGAACCGAGTTATCTGTGCTACGGTTTTACTCCATTTTATTATTAAAGACACAAGCTTCACCTCCCAAATTTCGATTGGTCTGAGATATTTTAACCGAGATAAGCAGGGTTTTCCAAACATCGGCTTTCTCCCCAGCTTCGGGTCCCTCTGTTGCTCCTGAATCATAATAAAACCTTATAATATCGAATTCTTACATGAGTATTTGGTGTTCATATTTTGGGCTTGTTGAACCGACGTCATTCAAGGGGCAAGTCTTCTGCAGCCATGTTCGGAGTTGAAGTCGAGATTTGAAAAACCACGAAACTATTTAACAGTGATTACTATACCTTTATTTGTGTGCCAAACGCATCAGTCACTTGATCCCAGGACTGAGCGTCATCACTGTACGACACTTGGTGCTCTGTCACCCATTGGTTGTATCGATCACCACGCCCCTGGGTGATCAAACCAGTGATGGTGACTGTACCATTGAAGTCAACCTGTATCCATGGACTGTCTTCAGATCCATCATCACACCAGGCTGCAGCTAATCCTGTTCAACAAAATAACTGACTTTATAACACCTCATCCACAGATTCTGTGTCTTGATTGGCCGAGAGCGAGTCACATGGTACTTTCTATTTTTGCTATTTTTCTGTACACGGCCAAAAGTACTTTACCCGTGGCAACCAAAGTACTACCATAATGGCAATCAAAGTACTATCCGGTTCGTAAGTGTGACGTCATCTCAACTTAACCATGCGTACTTGTACTTCACGTTGTGAGCATAGCACGAACGGAACCGGTGCCATTTGAAAATCGGACTCGTGTGAAAATCGGACTCTTTTTTCCTTTTATTGGTTAAACCCTCTCACGTGACCGGTCCCTCTCCTAATTATCTATGCATGAGCGTGCGCAATACCATCAATGAGTCCGTATTTCATAAAACATAAATTCATGCTACACCGGAGGCAAATTGAGTGTTTAGCCAATGGGCGCTTGTAATCAGTGGTTCGCGCGTGTGTATGACGTTTTACTAACAACCGGAGAGAGTACCGAAGTAAATATACATCACGTGCACAATAATGGTGTGTGTAAAAGTCGTTAACGCGCAACCTCGTCCCCAGTGCTTTCTTTATTTCCAACCTCGTTTCCAATAGTAAGCCCTGGATAGGAAACTTTCTTCCTGTATCCTGATTCGTTGCCGCAATTGGCTAATAATGAATTTATATCGTATAGTTGGTGTTTCCAACATGCATTACGTGTTTTCACGATCATTGTAATTATAACGTCCACGCCTTCTCAATAATACTCCTTTTCTTTCCAGTTTGCTCATATAGTAATATGATATGTGATACTGCATATTGGTGGGCCAGATTGTAACATTTTAACTTCCAAAAAATTGTGTTTTCTAATTCACGGCGCGACGAATTGATGCTGTTTTTACCCCAGACACCGCATACAAAAAGAAACGCTAATGTAACGCACATGCAGGTACCAGATTATTCCTCATTTGCATACGTGTGCAAAAATCTTGCACACACGGATCCAATACCAGGGTGATAGAGCAGGTAGTGGTGGGCGCGTACTGCACGACACCCTGGGGCCGAGGTTGATTAGCGCGTGATTCAGCCCGTGAACCAACACGCGCACGTACTCCATTCGTTTGCATGCACTACACTTCCCGGTTCAAAATGACTTCACAATTCAGTACTCAATACCCAGGGCGCGGTATTACATGACCAAAGAAGGTCACAATAAAGAACTCTACAAGAAAACCAACGAGATGTCTTGGAGTAAAGCCATTACCAGGAGACGTCTTAGGTAGACAGGCCATCTCCTGAGACTGCCCGAGGAAACACCTGCAAGCGCTTCTAGAAGCGATCCGCAAGAACAAATAGCTGCCAAGAGGTGGATAACGAACCACGTGGTTGAATACAGTAAACACGGACCTGACAACCACGGGGGTCAACATCAAAGATCAACACACCTGGCACGTGGCATCAGACAGTGAGCAGCGGAGGACACTTACAGAGTGCGTGTCAGTATACAAATAACGAATGTTTGTGAGTGCGATGGTAAGAATAATATCATGAGGTGACAGATTGAATGTTCTATTCCACGAGGCGAAGCCGAGTGGAATAGAACATTCAAGTGGAATAGAACATTCAATCTGTCACCGAATGAAATTATTCTTTCCATCGCACGAACGTAAAACATTCGTTATTTGTTTTATACAACACCTGAATAAATTCTCGTCATTTGATTGGTAAATTATAAACTACAATTTATTTTGATTTTAAAGATGTTGAACTACCCCTTCACGAAAATGTTTGAACCCAACGCTGTAGCGCTGGCTCTTTGGAACAATACGCGCTACGCTGAACGCGCACACCAGCATGCATTTTGCACGCAAATACCGCGTCATGGAACAAGCGCAAAGTGAAACGGTATAACGCATGGGTATAACGCATGGTCGCACCGTGCATTATACCGAATAATAATATGTCACGTGATCTACAATTCACAAATCAGATGACGGGGATTTATTCAGGTGTTGTATAAATCTACTTGACGCAAGCTCCTGGATGATGGCGCGGTATTATATTTTTGTGCAAATGCTGGTGTGCGCGTTGAGCGCAGCGCATTATTGTTCCCAAGAGAGCGCACCACTGAGTTAGGTTCGAACATTTCATGAAGGGGGCGGTTTGGAAGAGAGAAATACATTTCCCACCAATTTTGTATTGAAATTGAAGTTTCTTTTAACTGTGTTAAGATTTAAATAATTTAAAATATTAAAACCAAGCAGAATATGTGGGTGAAGTGTTTAAAACAAATATTGAATGCTTTATCTCGTGGTGAAGTTAAACTAGCCCCCTCGGTGATCCATGGAGCATTCTATTTCATGGATCACCTTGGGAGGCTAGTTTTACTCATAGAGCTATATTCAGCGCTAACTCATGTACAAAGTGATGCCTGCTGGGCGCATCCATGTTTGTACACAACAGTGTTGTAGGTCTCGAGACCGGTCTCGGTCACGGTCTCGAGACCACTTTTTGCCAGTCTCGGTCTCGGTCTCGGTCTCGGTCTCGGGAACTGTGGTCTCGGTCTTGGTCTCGGTCTCGGTCCCCTTTGGTCTCGATATTTTGGCTGGTCTCGAGTCGAGACCAGCCAAAAAGTGAGGGGGCGGATTCCGCCCCCGGCCCTTTTAGGGTTAAGTAAAGAATCAGTTTAGGGCAAATGTGACTGCGGTGTGATGCTAATGGACATGTCTCTCTTCACTTTCTAGTGAGTGAGGCATAGTCCAATAACCATTGCTCCTCTTCTTATTTCTCGTTTTTATTGTGGGATGATCTGTTGAAACAAGCACTTTATAGCCATCCTCATTGATTCCAAATACAACTGAGATTTAAATGTTATGAATCAAGACTGAAACATTATTTTTACCGTCAGATTCTGTATTTTGAATATGGGGAACAATTCAACTCTTTTCCCTAGAAATATTGGTGATTTTTTTTTCTATTTTCCTTTTCAATTTTTCCTTTATTCGTGGGGGCGGGAAAACGTTTTTTTTTTTCCATTATATTTATTAATGGATATTCATCAATTCGTAGACCGTTAAATTGGTGTTAGTGGTGGACAGCTGAATTTTGTGATCTCTTTATTAAAATAGACACGACTTGGGAATAGAGTATGCAAATTACGTGAAATGTTCACAGTTACTACTCAATAACATGTTCTTTATCCCAATTATATTTTTTACAAAATGGAGCGTGCCATTTTTTTATCATACGGTCACTTTCTTTAGACTCGCCATGTATTCATCTTTTCATCTGTGATAAACACAAATTGAGCTACTGCCATGGTCACACACAAAATAGAGTCTAATTGCCTGTCTCGTCTCCTTCCTAAATGTCAATTGCATTTGCATGAGTCGAGAAGAATTGTGTTCCATTACTCGCAATATGTCGTACTTGTATTCATCTTTTCATCTGTGATAAACACACATTGAGCTACAAAAATAGAGTCTAATTGCCTGCCTCGTCTCCTTCCTAAATGTCAATTGCATTTGCATGAGTCGAAAAGAATTGTGTTCCATTAATCGCTATATGCTGTTTACAGCCATCACAATAAACTATTAATATATTGGCAATATGTCGTACTTGTTAACAGTGGCGGAGATTTCTTGTTACAGGTGGGGGGGGGATGATTTTTGAAAGGCCATCCTTGTGTGGAACGCGACACGGCACGGGGTCCAAGAAACCGCTGAAGGGCCCCCTGGTGGGTTGCAGGCGCAAAGCCCTTGCAAGGGGTTGAGGTAACCCCCCCCCCCTGGAGCCCCTGGGGTTCACACAATTTTAGGTGCAAAATGGTGTCAAAATTCAATCTTTTCTTGAGCTTGAATTGCAATAAATGACAATAATTAACACTTTCAAGCATAAACAAATAAAAAGATCTTCAAAACTAAAATTTCTCATCCAATGTATTTGGAAGTGTAGGCCTAAGCTATCTTTGCACAATGGAGCTCTGGTCACCTAGCAACACAAATAATGCCTATGCATTATTTTAAGTATAATTATTTACAAAATAATTAATGCAAAATAATGCCTAGATGCATTTTGGTAAGGTATGATTAGAATGTGACGACAGTTGCGTAGCCAGGATTTTTTCATGGGGGGGGGGCCGCTGGGGGAGGCTGGAACATTTCATGGGGGGCGTCATGTAGGGGTGTCAATCGCTTCTCAAAAGTGGGGGGGGGACATACCTTGATCAGAACTGATGCGAGCGCGAAGCGCGAAGCGCGAAGCGCGAAGCGCGAAGCCCTTACGGCGTGGGGGTTCGGGGCCCGCTTAAGGGCTCCGAAAAAATTGGATTCTAGATGTTCTGTGGTGTGATCTGAAGCAATTTCTTACCACTTTCCTCCATGCTTTAACTAATATTTTCTTAGCAAAAGATAATTATTTGAACATCGTTTTCGAGGTTGGAGTCATTGAATCAGCTATCGGTATTCTGAGCTATATGCGTGGGGTTCGGGGCCCGCTTAAGGGCCCCGAAAAAAATTGGTTTCTCGATGCTCTGTGGTGTGATCTGAGGCAATTTCTGACCACTTTAACCAATAATTATCTTAGCACAAAAGATAATGTTTTCTCAGCTAAAGGCATAAGAAAAATTTTTGAACATTGTTTTCGAAGTTGGAGTCATTGAATCAGCTACCAGAATTCTGAGCTATAGGCGTGGGGTTCGGGGCCCGCTTAAGGGCCCCGAAAATTTTTGGATTCTAAATGCTCTGTGGTGCTATCTGAGGCAATTTCTGACCACTTTAACCAATATTTTCTAAGCAAAAGATACATTGTAGTACATAATAGGGCCCTGTAAATGAGACACGAGTTCAAAAATCTGGGGGGGGGGGGGGACATTTGATATTGTGTCCCCAACCTTCAAAAAGGGGGGGGGACCAGTCCCCCTGTCCCCCAGGATTGACGCCCATGGCGTCATGTAGATCAATGATAATTTTTTTAGAAACTCAAAACCTCAGTGGGGGGGGGGGGGGGGGGGCGACTGGGGGGGGGGGGTGACAAGGTTTCATGGGGGGTGGGCTGTCCCCCCCACGCCCCCCCCCCCCCCCCCCCCGTGGCTACGCCACTGATTTCAAGGAATTTTAATTGGTCTATTATTATTATTTAGCTTATATGAATGGAGGGAAAAAGTTTGTGCGTGGCCGATTCGCGTGATATCGCTGACTGAAACTGTGTGACCCACGGACCACCTGTCTATAATACGTGTTCCGTGGTGTGGGCGAGCAGTGCAGTGGGTGTTAATACGCATTTTAGATTATCATTATGCGCTATGTCACGCCGGTTGTCAGCTTACTGGTCCGCGGTCGCCGGTCGAAGGGTCGTTTCTCAATGGTCATCATGTGGATCATTCGCGACTATTTAGATTTAGATCAATGATAATTTTTTAGAAACTCAAAATCTCAGTGAGGGGGGGGGGGGGGGGGGCGACTGGGGAGGGGGGCGACAAGGTTTCATGGGGGGCGGTCGCCCCCGCCCCCCCCCCCCCCGGTGGCTACGCCACTGCATGCATGAGAGAGTTGTTGCGGCGGTCCTGTTTATAATCCTCTGCTAATGAATACATGTACATAAAATGGTGCGGCTTATACGATGGTGCGGCTTATACGCTGCGGCTTATACGATGGTGCGGCTTATACGCTGTGGCCTGAATCTTATTCTGAAGTTTTTGGAGCGCTGCGGCTTATACACAGGGCGGCTTATATTCCAAAAATTACGGTAAGCGAACGACACTTGCACTTGCTGGGCTGCGGTGCTGGCCTGTCAAAGGGTATTGGCAAGTTACGGACCCTGCCCAAATTAGTACGCCTGCCTTTAAAAAGTGGGGGGGGGGGGGGGGGGGGGGATGATTACATTGGTCATCCCCCCTGGTCAAAAGGTGGGGGGGGGATATATCCCCCCATCCCCCCCCCCCCCGGGATCTCCGCCCATGCTTGTTAATCACTAAAATATTCAAGTAAATTGCCCAGCAAAGTAGCCGATGCGGGTGATACGATGGCACGGTAAAAAAACACAGAGAGGCGTGGGCACTGAGCCATGAATCCTAAAAGTACATCTCACCCACCACAGTCAGTTTGTGACAGCGCCCTTCTATTGTATCGGCCATATTCTCAAATAGGCTAATGGCGATGATGACGGCGGGCAGATTAACAGAAGATAGATCAGGCAAATATGGTTCATCGAACTTCTATAGTTCATGTAATGGTATTGACATTAAACAAAAATAAAGTGGCATTACATTTCAGCCTTAGCCAGGCCTTCTTCAGAGGTAAATGACAGAGGAACAACTGAAGAAAACAAACATGTAGGGGACACACAAACATGCAGGGTTGGAAGGAGAATCACAAAGAGGGAGGGGGGGGGGCAGACCAAACCATATCTGTCTGGCAACCATCTCTCAATTTTTTGGTCTACATGTACAAATCTATATTCCATGACTGAAATTTTAAAAAATAAATCAATATTTTCTTGCTCCAAATTGTTTTCGAATCAGGTTTACAAGGAGGTCCAATGTAAAATTAAAATTGCATTTAAATATCCGTTAGTGGTCATTGCTGAACCAAGGGGTGGCTGTGGAGTTTAGGGTCCGAGTTCCTATAACAGATGAAACATCCACCTTTATTTTTTTACTTTTGTCAAGTTTCAACATGTTCAAGTTTTGCAAAAACTAGTACAAATTGTCGTACTCCTAAGTTAGAGTTTCTTCATCAGATTTACACTTTATAGTAGTTGAACAATATTTAAAATTTTTTTTTTTTTAAAGTGGCAAAAAAATATGGAGTTTATCAAATAAGTTTCCCCCTTCTTTAAATTAGGTTGTTTCCAATTTTTTTAATTGATTGTGACAATAACAAATTCTGTTGCCATGTTGTAATTTATGGCATGAAGCAAACACGAAGAGCACTCGCATGACACAATTAAGCAGGTACAAGTGATTCCTAACTTTCAATCACTTCCTTCACATCCCATGAACATCAACATCTCAAGCACAGACTGTTCAGCTGTAATTAGGGTCTTGTTGTTTATTTAGATTATTGTTATTTATTATCCGCGGTCTCGGTCTCGGTCTCGGACCATTTCGGTCTCGGTCTCGGTCCACCTTGAAGGGGCTGGTCTCGGTCTCGGTCTCGGTCTCGCAACTTCAGGTCTCGGTCTTGGTCTCGGTCTCGGACTATCCGGTCTCGACTACAACACTGGTACACAAACCTATGGAGAACTCGAAATGTTGTACTTTTTTGTAAGTCTATTTGCATATCTGCGTTTGTATTCCATACCGGTGGTTATCGAAGCCAATACGCCAAAAACCGAAACACACGATCAGCAAATGAGCGTGTCATTTTGCTCTACGCTTTCACCATGGTCTATTATACACAGACTAGGGGGTACCCCGGGGAACGGAACGGCCCCCCCCCCCCCCCCCCCCGTAGTTACGCTACTGCATTTTCTTAATAAAGTTCTTCGTGTAGCACTTTCAAAATCTAGGATATGAAAGCCCAATTAATAAGATTTTTGTAGTACAAGAATCATTCGAATCACTCAGGCACTTTTCAAGTTACGGAATTTTAAACACAACCCCCGTTTTAAAGTTCTGACCACGGATCACACACAAAAAAGTGTGTGTTCTTTCAGCAAAACGAAAACAATGCACACACATCCCTGTGCAAATTGTTTTCGTTTTGCTGAAAGAACACTTACTTTTTTGTACTTGAAAAGTACATATGATTTGAATGATTCTTCTACTAAAAGAAAGTTTATTAATTTGGCTTTTATATCATACATTTTTGATATTGCTACATGCAGAACTTTATTGAAATAAATTGGTCGTGCCATTTGGTTTCCTTATTTATTTTTTTACTCGCCCTGTATATATAGGGAAAAAATGAAATGAAAACGAAAGCAAATATATTTTTCGAGGTGAAACTCGAAAATAACACGGGAAACATGTATTTAATCTCACTAAATCCAAAAAGCCTACCTTGAGTATAAAGCCTGGCCCTGGGTGGGGCATGAGTAGGGAGGTTTCTGTAGAATGACGAAGCTGTGATGCTTTCATCCGGGATGCGACCATCTTCCATCCCAAGAGTCCCTCCACGGAGCAAGGAGAGTCACCTGAGGAAAAGGTGCGATCGCTTTGAGAAGTTTTGTACAAAGTAACCATTAATATATTTTTTTAAAGAACATACAGTGAAATCTCGACAATACAAGTCAAACTCTGATAACTCAAAACCGTCAATCCATTCCCTTCAGTAGTATAACAATGATATACAACCCTGCTCAACTCAAAACTCTCCTGAAGTCAAATTTTGAACCTGTTCCCTTGAGGTTTGGCTTATCAAGATTTCACTGTAGTATTGGTCTATTTGCAAGTGAAAGTTCAACGGGGAAGAAAGAATCGTTTTCTTCCGTTTAATGGCACGAGTAGATAGTTTCGGATGCATAATTATGTGCCTCTTCCATCCTGCTCAACATTGAAAAACCAGAGCTTTGTCAATCCAAAGTGTGTGTCCTCTTCAGTAACAAGAGGACCCAAATGAGTTGCCTAAAATATACCTATCACAAACATCTTGGGAAACATAAAGATCATATGCTTATTTATATTATAATTATTCTTCGACGGCTTACCAGGATTTCAATTACAGTAAAAACAAAAATCCCTTCAAGTGCTGCTTGTTGCATTAGCTTTGAGCCTTTGAAATGAAACAGTAACACAATCTCACCATTTCTTTTGAAGTATTTCAACTTCTCTTCGTTGACTGAAACGATCGAGTCATCGCTCAATTCACACCGTCTGGTATCTTTGGTATAACTGAAGTATTCGCAGTATTCTCCTTGAGGCAGGCCGCGGCACACCTTAAGTAGGAGGCTCGTTGGCTTGACCGAATCACTCGATATTTGACGGTGCTGTTGAACTGTGAAACAGCCGTGAAATCCGAAGATTTCACGGTAGGGAGATTAGAGCCAGCTCCGCTCTGAACCACGCAGACAACAAAAAGAACGAGGCACCAAACAAGACGACAATGTCTTGGGTGATAAATAGGAAAATTCATTTCGTTTCGTTTAGGTTTGTTCAGCCATATAATACTCACATGTAGGCCACTTCGAAACTGTTTCAGATTGTGTTGCAAACAGCGAACGGCGAAAGATCGTATACTACGCTGGCAATATTAAAGGCACGAGTTTTATTGATCACCAAGTCACAATCGACAATAAACGGATGATTAAAGCCAGGCCCGTGGTAAAAAAAAGCAATGACAATAGCTGCGCTGCTAATAGCTTTCTCGCACGCATAACGTGTTCCGGCATGCGCATTGTCACTGCTTGAAAAAAATGAAGGTCTTCAAAATAACTACTGAGACCTATTTATCTTGAAAACCTCCACACAAATATTGAAGAAGTCGACTTCAAGTTTGAATAGGCTTTGTCGTTCCTCTCGTTTACACTTAACTGGAGGAGATTGAATTCTAACGAAAGGAAGCAATAGTCAATCGGACATTTCGTTGACAAGCTGTATGGTTGTTTAAAGTTTGCATTTATTTACATGTCAAAAGGAAATACTGAGAAAAGGCCTTAAAGTTTCGATTGTTTTGCAGTCGTGATGATAAAAAGATATCATTTCTTTACCTTTAAAACACTTTTTTTCACGATTTTATACCATTTATTTAAAAAATGTGTAGTAAACATATCAAAGATTGCAAATATCAATAAATAAACATCGAGAAAAAAAAATACCCATTGTTTGTGTGGTTTTTTTTTGGGGGGGGTTTGGTATATTTTTTCCACTGCGGCTGTGCTCATGCCGTTTCCTCTTATTTTGCCAAAATGCCTCATAAATATTATGTTCGCAAAGAGGGGAAGCCTTACACTTTAACCTTCTCCAGTTATTGGCAACATGAACGAGTTCCCATACCAGGGGCGGCGGAACGGGGGCGGGGGGCAGGGGGGGGGGGGCACTGCCAGATTTTCCCAAGTGCCGTCTTGCGGACATAAATGTGGCCCCTCGAGCATAAAACTCACATTTCGCATAATTTGTTTTCAATAACCATTTCCTAAAACCCTAACAATGCGCCCTGAAAATGGGCACATTATTCGTAGTTTGCATAATGGCCGGTTTGAAGAGCGCCCCCTATTTTGGAAGATTGTACCAGCAACCCCCCCCCCCCCCCCCCACCGCCACTATTTAATTTTACGGAGGCCAAGTGTCCGGTGAAAAAAACTTGTCGACATTTCAGGACGGATGTGCAAAAAAATACCAAAATGCTTGATACGCTGCTGCACCAGCGAAATATGCCTTTGTGCCCTTTTTGGTGATGCCCCTCCCCGTTTTGAAACGTTCCACCGCCGCTGTCCATAGGTATTTGAAGGCCTCGGCTTTATTGCTCAAAAATTAATTTCAGTTTAATACTTCACAACAAAAACACAAGGTATTATATAGTGAATCTTCATGCATTCGTGCATTTCACCGGTGACCGGTTTAAACACTTTT